CTCTGGGAAAGGTTACTAAGTGGGCCCCCACCATTATAAAGTTCAATCCTTTTGTATGTGGCTCTTAAGCGTCCCAAACATGCCCACATTTTAAAAACTGCTGTAATAAGGGGCGCGGTGAGGGAGGAGAATTAGCACTGGGATGGGGGGTGGGGTTCAATAATCCTTCAGCCAGCACTCAGGAAGCCTGTGTGTGTGTGTGTCTCTTTTTAGCCTCACCCCTTACAGTAGTCTTTTGTGAAAGGGACATTGGTTGGGTTGTGAAGATGATGGTGGGGGAATGGTTTGGCTCTTGGGTCTGAGGCTGCCCACCCTTTCTTGGGCAAGCAACTGCCTCTGAGAGTCGCTGGAACAGAAGCTTTCCTTCTGTGAAATGGATCCTGGAGCCAAAAGTGGGGGCTGGGAGGGGGGCGTTTTCTGTTTAAGAGTTCATCAACTCCTTGTCTCTTCTGGCACCCCCTTGGGGACTTAGGCAAATTCTGTTTCTTTCGGCCTCAGCAGTTTGCCTTCTGGGAAAGCGTCCGCATTTGCCACCTTGTCTATTTTGTGGAGGGCTGAGCCACCCGGCAGCATCCCCACAAATGCCCCCTCGTGGCCACTCTCTTGAGATGCCACTTTTCTGTATGAGCTTTGGGACTGGAACAGACCAGACTCTCCTCCTCCTCCTCCTCTTCTTTGTTTCAAAGCCAGCTTGGCAGCAGCTGCAGACGTTCAGGGTCTTGGGTGTGTGGAAGCAACTGCTTCCGGTGATCCTGCCTGGAGGTGGGCTGTCCCCCAGCAGCCCCAGTCCTTTGGGGACCAGATGCTGGGCAGCCTGCTCCCATTGACGCCAGCAGGCCCCACATTTCAAGTGGGTTTTGTGACCTGAGGTGTCTTGAGGGGTGCCCTCCCTGCTTCCCTTTCACTCGGCTCCCTGGTTGGTCCTCAACGCCACAATTCTGAAAACCCACTTTATACTTGGGTCATGGAGTATATCCTGTATCCTGGTGTTTGATTTTGCTGTTGCATAAATCAATTAAGTCTTTAATCTCTGTCAAATCTCCTTAGAGTCTTAATTAGTATGCAGCCTGAGTAACTTTGCACAGCCAGACCTTTCGGGGGGTGGGGGTGGGTGGATTTGGTCTCTGCACCCAATTATGCTGCTGGGTTTGTAGCAGGCTCCTGTCCGGTTGAGCCCAGCTTCAGCCACTTCAGCTTCCAAGGGGTTTCAGAGGCCAACGCCGAGATCTTGGGGATGAGATCCTTCAGTTAATGTTTAGTTTTTGGGTGTGAGGGTGGGCAAGAGCATTCCTGAGCTATCTGGGGGTGGAGGTGGAGGAGGAGCACCCAGGAGGAAGAGGCATCCCGGCATCAGCACCTTGGCATCTCCCCAGGGGTCACCTGAGGTGAGCTGCCAGCAAACAGGGAGGGAGGCATGTTTTGGTGTTGACAGGGGGGGCACTCCATGTATGGAGGGGGCTCCTTCCGTCCCAGCAGCTTGCCCAGCCCCTCCTTGGCTCACTCTTCAGGGCCAGGCAGGAACTTCTCCCCCCCTCCCCCCACTTTTCAAATTCTGAACTTCAGTTGTTCTAACCTGGTGTTTCTAGTGGCTTGTTTCTTGTTTTTCTCCTTTAAAAAAGCAAAAACACACAGCGGTTTTCTATTATTTACCTTATTTTTTATCTTTTTGTTAATCACCAAAAGGTGTTGCAAGGGGGGGTGAGGTGGGCAGCATCCCTCCCCTTTCTAATTATTTTTCCTGGAAGTGGTTCATTGGCAGAGTAACTCATCATATGAATGGCAACCTCTACAGGCAGAGCAAGGGCTTTCCGTGTGTGTGTGTCTGTGTGCGTGTGTCTGCGCCATCGGCCGAACCCTACAACCATGTTTCCAGCATGTTACTCCGGGAAGAGGGAAAGCTGCATTTGTCACAGAGCCCATTGAGTAGAGAGGCATGTATTGTTATTAGCTTTTAATTCTGAGTTTCTGATTGGCAAAGGTGCCAGACAAGAGTGTATTTTAGCCCTCTATTCAGTTTGTAAGCCGAACACACCATAGGTATGGAAAACTGTATAAGATTCTTGTGAAGGAGGAGTGACAATTGGTGGAAGAAACACCAATACTCCCAATATGCTGATGACACCATTTAATGGCAGAAAACGGCAGTGGCTTCAAATGACTCGGAAGGTGAAAGAAAATAGTGCGAAAGCAGGACTGCAGTTGAACATTAAGAAGACCAAAATTATGACTACAGAAGAATTATACAACTGTAAGGTTGACGATGAAGAAATGGAAATGGTTGTAAGCTTTTTTGATACTTTGCTTCAATCGTCAATTCAAAGGGGAACTTGCAGCCAAGAAATCAGCGAAGGTGGTCCCTTCGCCCCTCGGCGGCGAGCAGGGCCGCGCGGGACGCACCGGCTGAGAGCACACACACCCCCCGGCGGAAGGTCCTCATCGCCGCCGGCGCCGCGGCGCT